ACAGCGGCTGGCCTTTCTCAAGACCCCATGAACCACGTTGAATGGGTTTGTTGGTGGGCATCTTAGTGAAGAATCTAGAGCTATGTCAGTGATAGGAACATTGAACCATCAACCGCACCCAGATTGGGGTCTTACCGATCCATGCTGAATTCCATCTTTTCTTTGTAGTCTGGGACAACTTTGTGTATGCCTGGCAGCCCCAAGCCCACCTTTTCACTGAGTTTCCAGCCAACAGAGGAGCATATTATCCCGGCTCTCAGAACATACTTTCCAGTCTCGTGATCTCGAAGCATGATTCCAAAGTCCTCAGGGACATTGTCCAAGAGCACAATCAGTGGCTCAGTGGCAGAGAGATCTGTCGTTGTCCCAAGAATGTTGTTGTGCAAGATGTTACCCTCGAGCTTGAATTGATTGGGATATCTTGCGCAGATAAACTGAAGGACCATTTCCATAAGTTCTTTGCAGGCGAGCTCGGAGCCGGGCATGCTATCGAGAACATCACTGCCATTCTTTGCGTACAGATCTTTGCGCTCGGCAACGCGCTCCCTGTATGTGTTTTCAAGCTCGATCCAGAAATCCGTATCCATCTTGGTTAAAGCTGGCAGTCTTCATATGAGTTTGAGTGCACGATTTCTAGAATCCTGGCGGGACTTACACATGGTCTGATGATAAGCCCATCTAAACGGTCGGTAGGGCCGCGGGACGGCCTTGTCAATGTCAAAATCTGCCAATGGCGACGGCAACGGAACACCTGAGATAGTTGCATAGTCTGGAAAGTCGCCGAGTTTCTGAATGTCATCAATGCTGAAGCCACTGAAGTTGAACAGAGAGGGGTCGGCGGATCGGTAGTCGGCATCCACTTTCAACAGAGGCTTCGGCGTCACGGCGAGGTCAACCTCTTTGACGTCCGCGAATTGTGGTCCAAGCTCCGCAATTGTTACTCTTTGAGACGGCGGGAACGCGTCCACATAGCTCTGTTTCTCGGCCGTAGTGACGGAAGGCTTCTCGGCCGGCTGGCTGAAGGACGGGGCGCGGTTGAACCTCGAGAAAACCCTCCGGCTGTCAATGAGACTGCTTATGAGATAGAGGAGGGCACTGGTGAGTGCGGCGATGCCAAGCACTGTTGTGACGGCATAACGGTCACCGAGTTCAATCGCGGAGGACATTGCGGACGATTCTTTTGCTCTGTCATACAAAATGACTTAGCACCGATACGTCCATTTTCGTCGCTGGAGGCTAGGGGATAAGTATTCGCAACTCGCGAGCACAACTATGGTCTATCAAGATGCTCAGAACACAAGTCACAGGGTCGAGTAGATGCATCTGGTAGATTTAGCCAGCAGCCGCCTCTATGCTACCGTTTGACCATCCGCATGATGCGGCGCGTTACAGTCTGGAGGGTAAGACGTCGTCTTTCACACCCTCACCGGAACCGGAAAGATTATACGGACGAGAGCTTGAGCCTTGATCCATTTCGCGTCACAGAGTCTAGCCCAATTTGTTAAATCTACCCGGCACCCTCTCTCATCCACTGATGATGCAGCGATAAGGTCAGGAACATGGGATGCGGGATGACCCCGCTTGATGACGACCCTGTCTTGGATGTCTCCCACGTCTCCCACGCTCCCCCGGCTGTGCCCGCAAGCCCGTTCCTCACGCGGCTCGAGGCTGCGGAGGCCGCAGCGCCCGTGCATCTCTAATGCTGTCAAGGTTTCCTTGCACGTATCCGTAAGCTCCTATCAAACGACACTCAGCTGCCTAGGTATTGCAGTGCTACTAGAAGCCAATGTTTAGCTATACTCCGTACCTACGGTAAGGTTGTTACACATGGCTTATGACGCCGTGCGCCCTTCCCCTTTTCACGTGTTGGACCCAAACGGCTGCCCTTCAAACCGCGTCCCTCCCGCTCTACTTGACTCTAATTGGACAGGCTCCCGCATCCGTTTCCAGCAGTTTAGACCGGTCGTGGTTCACGGTGCAAGACAGTTGAACCCACTGATCCTCATCCCTTTCCAGTCACCCCTAGCAATGCCCAGACTTTTGGTGCCCAGAAACCAGCTCGAGAGCTTCCTGGATTGAGTAGAAAGATAGGTCTTTTCGTGTCCCCGGTGAAGCTCGTCTATCAGAGATAAGCCAATCAGGGAGGGTGGTGTTATCTGGCATCCAGTGCCCAAGACAATTGTGAACATGCTTAATTTTGTTACAGAGCCAACCTTATCTGGGGTTCGCACTGGTGCCAAGTGATAGCAATACCGACAGCATGGCAGCTTGGCCAACATCTGAAGATTGACGAAAGCTTTAAGTGGCTCCCTAATGTCCTGTCAAGCTTGGAGGTTGACGTTCCGAGGCTTTGGTTCTTTAACAGAAAAAAAGCAGCATTGCCTTCGCTTGCCCGCCATCTCAGTCATTGCATCATAATACTTCTCCGTTGGAAGTATTGTCGTGATACATCATGACGGAAGTCATCCCTGTGACCGAGTTCCCGGACTATGCCACCGACCCAACGGGAGGCAACCCAATCACCCATGACCTCAATGCGCCTTATGACAAGGTAAGGAAAGAATTTGACAAAAGTTCTTCTGAAGACCTAAAAGATATTTCGATTGGGGTTCAAAGCCCGCTAACTCGTGTAAACAACCCGTAGGGTGACCTCTGCTGGGTGCTGGTATGCACAATCCTGTGCTGGCAGATTACGCCAGCCATCGGCTTTCTCTACGCCGGAATGCATCGTAGGAAATCCGCCATGACGATGGTTCTCCAATCACTCTTCTGTGCATGCGCCTGTGGCCTACAATATTGGATCTACGGTGCATCGCTGTACCAGTCACGCACGACGAACCCTATCCTCGGCGACCTGTCGCACGCCGCATTCCACAACCTCCTGGCTTCTCCTTCGTTTGCCAACAGTGATATCCCAGACATCTTGTGTAAGTCAAGTATCCCCTGAGATGGTCGATATTAATAGGGATGGAGTCACTAATAATCGTCTGTTGGACAGATGCTGCCTTTGGCTTCACCTTTGTTACAGCTACGGCAATGATCCTTGCCGGTGCCATGCTCGAGCGCGGCCGTCTCTGGCCCAGCATGCTTTTCCTCCTCTGCTGGAACACGTTCGTCTACTACGTGTGAGTCCAAGACCTTCGATATCGAGCACACGTGTTTGAGAGTCATGCTGATTTGCCCTTCAGCTTGGCATATTGGGAGTGGAACCCTAGCGGTTGGCTCTACAACCTCGGTCTCTACGACTTTGCGGGCTCCGGTCCGGTCCATATCGCCAGTGGTTTTGGAGCCCTTTCCTGGTCCATGATGTTGGGTCCCCGCATCGACGACAGCAGCACGTCCACGAAGAAGAGGCACGTCCCACAGTTCAGGGGCCACAACCCTTTGCTGATGACTCTGGGTACCGTTCTCATCTGGTTTGGATGGTTTGCCTTCAACGGAGCTAGCACGGCTAACCTCAGCTTGCGGTCCATCTATGTCGTTGTGAACACCAACTTTGCTGCTTGTGGTGGTGGAGTTACGTGGGCCTTGTTGGACTACATGTACATGAAGAAGTTCAGCTTGGTTGGCTTCTGCTCGGGTATCATCTCCGGTCTTGTCGGTATCACCCCGGCAGCTGGCTTCGGTAAAACTATCCTTCTCGTTGCATTCCCATGTTCGCGCTAACAACTATAATAGTTCTTGTCTACGTCTCACCTCTTGTCGGAATTATCACAGCCATCTGCTGTTTCTACACCGTTCGATACCAGTATATCCTCCGCGTCGACGACGGTCTCGATATCTTTGCCATTCACGGTGTCGGTGGATACGTTGGTGATATTCTGACTGGTCTTTTTGCCCACAAGATGGTACCTGCTCTCGACGGAGTTAGCGGCGACTCGTATGAGGGCGGCTGGTGGAATGGGAACTTCAGACAGCTTGGTCTACAGTTGGCAGGCGCGACGACTTGCGCTGCCTGGTCGTTCTTTGTCTCCTGCATCTTGTTGTTCCTCATAAATAAGATTCCGGGCATGCATCTGCGCGCTACTGAGGAAGACGAGTTGCGAGGTCTTGATTATGCGTACATTGAGGATATTGTCTCGGACTACGATGATGGTAATATGCTGATCCACAATGGCCAGGTGGTGGAGACGCCGACTCCGGCGAGCTTTTCGAAAAGCTCCTAGACCTGTAGACGCGTGTTCATTTAGAGGTCTGAAGAACTAGAAGGTCGGGATAGACTATACAGTACCACGTGAAGGGACTTTTTTCTTGGAAATGATTCCCACTTGTGAGTCTAGTAAGAAATTCAGTAGCCATCCATTTCCATAGGTATCTACATATTTAGTGTACCTCCTCAGGTACCTCTAGACCATGTGTGGCCGTTACCATGACGATACTTCCTAGGAAGCACATGGTTCATTTTCAAACACCGACTGCACCAACTTCAGGGTCTCTGAATTCATAAGTTTACAACACCTCTCCCCTCGTTGCATTACGGGTCAAATTTGCCGGAAAGTCCCCGTGAAAAATGCCGGACCCAAACCCCGGCTCAGCTCCAGCAGAACCCGAGAATGAGTGGATCTCGGCACCGAGTGGCCGGCCCAAACCAAACCAAAAACCGAATTACACGCAATACCAAATCCTAGGTAATCACACGCACATGACGTCAATCATGGCGAACAACTTTAGAAGTTGGAGTATGTTCATTCGTCGCTGAACCCTGGCTTAAGTCAGGCCACTTGAAGGTCATGAAGTGCAGACGGCGTTTGACCCACTCGGTCATGAGCTACGGCCTACTTCTCTTTCGTGGGTTCGCATGGCGTGATCACCTTCTAGGTTTTTCGAGAGACAACGGGGCCGGTCTACTTTATGAATTGCATAAGTTCTTCTCCTAACCTCAATAACAAACCGAGATGAGACACGACTATCACAGTAGGAAGAGCTGGGGGTTGGTTCATATAATACTACTACAGACCAGACCTGACCTTTGACAGCATTCGGCGCACAAGATTCGTATGTCATCTCTGATGCCGCTGACTCTTCTCCCTCGGAAATAGTTGTGACAAGTCGCCCAATGGGACATGAAACGGCAGCACTTCACCGCAAAACTCAGCGGCCATCACGTAGAAACCAGCCAATGCAGCAACAAATCCAAATCCACCGGCGATCTTGGCCAAAGTCCCACCAGCCGCGGCGTTCCCGCTTGCGAATAGGAAATTCGCTGAGCAATTCAAGGTGTAAGAAAGTTCAAGGCCTCCATAGACAATGACGTTTGCGACGTTCCTGATGTTGCAAGTTGTCACTGGTCAGCGAGCCCCGCCAGAACAGATAGGTTCAGCACTTACGTCGCAAAAGCAGCAATGAAGAAGAAGAGGTTGAAAAGCGACCAGACTGGTTACAGTGCTCAAAGTCAGTCGCAAGCTGTAGCATCGGAAAAATAAGAAAATGGCGAGAATGTCAAACAAACCAGCAAGATAGAGTCCAAAAGCCGTATAATATTGCTCCGTCTTGCCACCGTAGCTGTCGACAATTCCAATCGAAGGGATCAGCAGGAAGCCATAACCGCCATAGTAAAATGCTGGGAGCTTCAGTCCTTTGTCGAGTCATAAAATCAAAACAATGGAGTGACAAACTCACCAAAAGCAATGAGTGTCGTATAGGCGAACGTGTTACCCCTTACCATTTCCCACTGAGCTGAGATGAGGAGGCCCAGACCAGCTAGGAAGCAGAGGTTGGCGATGAAAACAGCTTGATTTTCAATGTTCCGAATACCCATATTAGCCAGTGATAGAGTCATCAATGTCGTCGCAAATGCACCGTAGCCAAAAGGGCTCTGCGGGATGATATGGTCAGCCAGTTGCTGGTAAACTTCTAGAGCGAGCGACCCGAAGTGGAAAGGTAGGGAAAAGTACAGTGACCCTACCGAATTAGCAAAGCGTTCTCTGGAGCTCGCGAGTGGCCTGATTGACTCGACGTCGACTTTACATGTAGTTCGGGCAGACATTTTAACAACTTCTGATAGTGACGGGGCGTACTTAGAATACCTTATTAAATCAAGCATTGGAATAGATCGGAAACTTGGGACCCTTGTTAAGGCGAAGGCATGGTGATGAGCTTTCAAAATTTCAATGAATCAATTCAACGTGTTGCCGCTATTAATATAGGAGGCGAAAAAGTTTTAGTTGGACATGAACCATGTTGGCCGGGCTTTGAACTTTTACCTCGGCGACGCAATGCATGCCTCATTACATGCTCAGTCGAAAACCCTTCGCCAAGACGCATTACTACCATAACGTGATTCAATGATCTTTTTTCAACGAGTCCACTTCTAGCTGATTCAGGCCCCGTTCCAGTCCTGTTCGTTGTACACAGCCATCGAGATCAGATGGATCCATTATCGTTTGCCGATGTACATTCGTCAACATTCAACCGTCCCATTGATCGACATCGTTTTTTTTTTTACTTACTTACCACACTTCTCATTGAGACTAGCCGGTCAAGCAACACAGGCAAACATCTCCACTTTACCTTTGCCAATAGGTAAGCTTTATCGCTGGGAATGAGTTAGAGTTGCACCATTTCAACTCCATTTGAGGATACATGCACATATTTCTCATTCAGTGTCCGGGAAAGTAAGTTTCATTAACTCCGTTTTATTGCCTCGGAGTCGTAAGGATAGTAAGTTTTAGATATTAAGGACAAGTAACACCACCTCGTAACGCCATACACCGCCCCTTCAGCCATCATCCGTCATGGCCGCATACATTCTATGGCCCAAAGGCTACATGCAGTTTCAAGTAATAGGAAGCTTAGTACCCTCCATTGCGACGCCTCTCGTCCTCTCTGCGTTGCTGCTCATAATCCTGAATGCGGTCGCCGTACTTATCCTTATCGTTCTGGGCTTTCCGAATTTGCTCGTCGTACCTAGTGCGGCGGTCCTCCTCAGCCTTGATCAACTGGTCTTGCTTGTTCTTGTCGTACTGAGATTCGCGGATCTGTTGGTCCGCACGCTGGCGTCTAGCTTCTTCGGCACGAATTTCCTGATCATAGTTGTTCTTGTTTGCATTGTTGCCGTACCTGTCCTTGGCTCGTTCCGCATCCTGGATGCGCTCGCCACTCCGTTGCTTCTCGTATTGAGCCTTGCGGATTGCCTCATCCTCCTTGTCCTTGTTATACTCTCCATTCTTGATCTTGTCGCCGCTCTTGTTCTTATTATACTCAGCTTTGTTGATACGAGAATCCTCACGCGCGCGGTCTCTCTCCAGTTGACGGATTCTCTCATCGTCCTTGTTGCGCTGGTTCGAGTAATAGTTACTGTCCTTGTTCTGGTAGTTGGGATTCTTGTAGTCGTTGTAAGTTCCCGACTTGCCACCATAAGATTTTGGGTTGAAGTTTGTTGACGTCTCAGGTGTCTCAACGAATCTGCCGCCACGTCCACCCCTCTTGGCGTCCGCCAGTTCCTGCTTCTCCTTCTCCTTTTGGGCTTGGAGGCGCGCCTTGTCTCTCTGGTTCTGGTCCTTCACTCTGTCAAGGGAAGCTTGCTCTTCAAGCTTCTTGCGCCTAGCAGCGTCCTTATCTCGGGAGTTCGTAGCGCCCTTCTGTCTCTCGCGGGCCTCTTGAATTTCTGCCCGCTCCTTGGCTTCCTTCGCCTTGCCGCTTGCATGTTGCGTTCTCTGATCTGCTTGGATGTCCTTGATCTCGTTCTTTTCCTTCTGGACTCTTCCCTTGTCAACCCTGTTATTGTTGTTGTTGCTCCGCGAAGATGAAGTCCGAGATGAAGAGGTGCGACTCGAAGACGATTTTTTGTTGTCACGAGACTCAAGAGTGCCATGCTGATCGTCATCCACCTCCAAGTCACGAGACTGGAACGTCGAGTAGACCTCGCTGACTTCCTTAAGGTCCCGTGCCTCAAGGTCGCCAGACTCCTCGCCGTCCACTAGACCTCGAGCAGAGATGCCAGCGACAGAAGTAGCCTCGACGTACTCATACTCGTACTCATCCTCATCTCGGGCCTCAAGGTCAGCGTAGTCCTCGCTGGCCTCGATATCGCGGGTCTCTAGAGAAGTCCGAGGGTTCTCATCAAAGACACTTGCGGCATTGTCTTTGTTCTCGAAACGGGTGATGAGAGGAGCCGCAAGGGTGCTCGAAACGAGAGCGGAAACAAACAAAGCTTTGACGGAAGGCATATTGTGAGGAGGTAGGTAACGGAGACTACTGATGGAGACAGAAGGCTGAGTTGCTAGAGGAAGCTGGGTTCGTAAACTATGAAGTCCGCAACCTGTCTGGCAAGTAGTAATCTCTAATGAAAAGCGGGAGGCCTTGTCATCTTTAATACGTTTCTCAATACCACGAAATATTTATTTACTTCTTGAGACTATGTTTTGTTTGTTAGACTAGTGAATAAGTCTAAAATTCTCCGATAAGGTTAAGTTGATAGTCTGAGACGGCCGACATCTTAGCCTTGGTCTTAATCCGTCGTCGGCAGTGACCTGATGATGGCTTCCAGGGTGTGAGAAAAACGAGGCTGTTTCTCATGATCTCGGAAGCCCGGTTTGTTCTTGCGGGCGCAACACTCACGGTATACAAGCCTAGCTATGGTCCGTTAGGTAGGGACGGGATGTGAGGGTGAGTAGCATGCCTTCAACGCGTGTTCCGAAAGACTTCGGACGGAAAAGCTTGGTCTTCATGCACAAAAAGTAGGGCGACGCAGTAGATGTCCATAAGCGGACCCGAGAGCGACAAAGTCCGGCCGCACGTCGTTCAACACTGACAGCGTTTATTCCTTCCGCGGAGCTCCAGGAAGCAGGGCGAAAGAGTCCCTGATTCAGGGGCCCTGTCGACTGCGTCTGGATTCGAGTCGATCACCGCGGGGTAGGGCAACTTTAGACTCAACAGTGAGCACGACTAGCTTAAAATGGTAGCTGAGCGCGGGCCTGATCTTCGCGGGCCACGTACATCTCCCGCTGCGGGGTACTGAGAAGAAGCCAATCGGTTCACGAAGCCGAGCAAGTCGTCGTAACGGCCGCAACGATGAATGAGATGCCAAGAGCCTCTGGACCATTACCCCTCGAAGCTTGAGTCTCTTCTCACCTACTTCTAAGTTTACTAGAGAGATCGGAAGCGAGAGCTCGCTTCCAGTTGACAATCGCGCGCTCTTAAACTCTCATTCACGTGGGAAAGGGTCCACGATCATCTGTGAATTCTCTCCTTTGCCGATGTCCCATAAGCCATGCACCTCGTCTACTCCCGATTCCTTCGAACAGACAACGCATAACGTTCGGCAACCTACGAAGCTTCGGCCGCGTACTACGCCGGCCAAATTCTCGGCAATGCTGGCCCCAGATTCGCATCGTTGGGACCTTCGTTCCCGCTAGCCCGGAGCCGACTCGATGGAGCAAGCATGCCGCAGACAGTCACCTATACACAGCGGCCGGCAATCAAAGCTTCACTGGCGTAAATTGTATCATGTGTCACTGGACTCTCCTGTTGAGATTGATTTGACTTCTAGCTGTCTGAATCTGAAATATTTCAAATCATCTTCAAGGCACCAAAACTCAACAAAAGCCTGGGCCATCTCGCGGAAGTCCCGCTTACAAGGTTAGATCAAGACTGGAGGCTGTTCAGACTCGATTCGTCGACCAACGGCTTGTTCTCCTTCTCCCCAAAAAGTTCGCAGGTGGCTTGTTCCGTTTCGCCCATCTTAGTATTTTCTCTGCCACTGTCTATCCTAAGACATGGATCGATAGCTTCATCCAACTTGGCTCATAAGCCCCAAAAACACTAGAGCAACAACAACTCTAAAATCTTGTTGAACTCGTAAACTTTAAGTCCTTATCTCTGTCCTCTTCTGTGACAGTATCGACAGGCATTGCTGAAAATCTCATTGGAGCTCAAGTTTGTATCAACACGCATGTACCTGATGGCTGATGACAAGCCCCGATGTCTACGTGCAAAGATGACTCGCTTGCAGAAAGGATAATGGTAACAATCATGGGACTTAGGACATAATTTCGAGCGTTGCTCACAGACAGCTTATATTATCTGACTCCTTAGCCAGAGAGATGTTAACTTGGTTCAGTAACCCGCCCACCCCCTCCCGACGGCCAAGAGAGTAAGTAGATTCCATCTGTTCACCATCAGTCACTGCACATACCAGCAACATCATGAGCTCGCAATACACCTGTTCTCTAACTTCCTCTATGCATTAGTTCAATGCAGACACAACCTATTAGAGTGTGCTTTAGGCCCACTGAAGCTGAAAGTTTGACTTCTATGGGTCCCGCAAGTGAGGTTGACTAGGTACCTAATGCACCTTTATGTTGAATAAGGTGCGGGTACCTAACGGGAATGCATAGGGGCCGAAGGCTTGCGAACCTTTCCTTGCTTCGCGAGGGATTTCTGGTATGATCAAATCAATTCGAAACCGGGTTCCAACCTTCTATGTCACTTAGTCTGAATTCAACGCGAGCACCTCAGAGGCTGACTATATCTCAATACGCGTATGATGGACTCAGTGCTTGCCTCGCACGTGACCCAATGTCCTGGCGAGTACATCTTACTTATATGCCTACTAATTATCAAGTGAAACTGTTAGTTCAAAGGATCTGAGGATGACTTGCCCTTCATCTCATCCGTATGACTGGTGTAACTGCAATGTTATCTGGAGCCCGGTTCCGATCGGCCGAAGATCCATAAAAAAGCCCCGGAGCTGCCGCTAGTCTCTCGGCACTTTCTTCGAGACGAAGCGGCCGGGGATGTCCCGCCTTGTGCCCCACATCATTTCCGAAAAGGTGCAGAGGGAGTCCTCCCTCCGCACCCCAATCGGTATTACACCGCCTCGGCGCTCTCGAAATACGGGGAATTCGCCCAGGCGACAAGTTGATCGCACCCGGAAAAGGTACGAGGTGTTCGTATTGGTCATTAGCTCTTGTAGTCTTGGCCATTTTAACTGAAGTGCCGTTGGATTTTCATTGGCTCCGTTTTAGGTTGCTTTCTAACGCGGAGAGCCGACGCACTAGCGGCTACACAATGTTCAACCCATTTTCAACGAGAGTATAAAGGCTCCTTATGGAGATGAATAATCTGATCTGCCCATCATCTCATCTTCTCATACACCCGCACCCAGAGAACGGCGACCCATCATGAAGCTTGCCCTTGTGTCGATCTTCGCCAATTTGGCCAGCATCCAAGCCCTGGCCGTTCCAGAGCCTAGACAGGCTTCGACCTTCCCGTCGGCAAGTGGCACAAAGTTCACCATCGATGGCCAGACAAAATACTTTGCCGGCAGCAACTCATACTGGATCTCGTTCCTGACGAATAATGCCGACGTCGATCTCGTCATGGATAATGTTGCGAAAGCCGGACTCAAGATCTTTCGCGTATGGGGCTTTAACGACGTGAACGCTGTCCCCAGCGGAAACCAGGTCTGGTACCAACACCTCTCAGCCTCTGGATCACAAATCAACACTGGCGTCAACGGACTCCAGCGACTCGATGCGGTCGTCGCTGCCGCGGAGAAGAAGGGTGTGAAGCTCATCATCCCCTTTGTGAACCACTGGGATGACTACGGCGGCATGAACGCCTACGTGAAAGCCTTTGGCGGTTCGAAAGAGACTTGGTACACCAACACTCAGGCCCAAACTCAGTACAAGGCGTACATTCGGGCCGTCGTGAGCCGTTACAAGAACTCTCCCGCCATCTTTGCTTGGGAACTGGCCAACGAACCCCGCTGCAAGGGTTGCAGCACCGATGTGATTTTCCAGTGGGCGCAAGCGACTTCCCAGTTCGTTAAGTCACTGGATGCGAACCACATGGTCACTCTCGGCGATGAGGGCATGGGACTGCCCGGCGATGGAAGCTACCCCTACCAATACGGTGAAGGCACAGATTTTATCAAGAACCTCGGCATCAAGACGCTCGACTTTGGCACTTTCCACATGTACCCCGATCATTGTAAGTCACCTGAAAGAGACAAGCTTTCTCATCCAAGTCTCGTCCGAATGACGGGGGTCGGACATAATCAACTAACACGGAGAAATAGGGAGCGTCGATCTAAAGAGCTGGTCTCCCGGCTGGATCAAATCACACGGCGAGGCTTGCGCAAAGGCCGGCAAACCCTGCCTCTTTGAAGAATGTGAGTTTTTTTCCTCGTGTCTGGTATTTAAACTCAATAAGCTCACACCCAAGAAGACGGTTCTCTAAGTGACCATTGCGGCATCGAGGCACCCTGGCAGCAAGTCTCACGGACGGCGCCCGGACTCGGCGCCGATCTGTTCTGGCAGTGGGGAGATCAGCTGAGCTCAGGGCAGACTCACAACGATGGGTTCACGATCTACAAGGGCAGCAGCGATTACCAGTGTCTGGTCGTCGACCATGTAAAGGCAATCAACGGGTGAAGATTTGACGCGCGCTGGCTAGCTAGAGTTTGCGGTGACAGGGAAGGGCATTCAGTCACAGTCAATTAATCTAACCTGATCCTCATGGATCCTGTTTCATCCCCGTAATCAGCGATGATCGCCCGAATCATCCGAAATATCGACCGTGAGGCTCAAATACCTGATTCAATGGGGGCCGGGAGCCACCCATCCGACGACGTTAAGTCCTGAAAAGGGATAGTCGGGGTCATGGCATCAAATGGCACCAGCTCCCATAGGTACACCATGGAGGCGTTTCAACGCTGGAAGCATGATGAATCCTGAATTGAGATCCTGTTTCTCGCAGGAATACATGTCATAACAGCATCATATTGATACACTGCGAGATATCATGAATCCTGTAGGATCCCGTCGAAAGTGCAATTGATTGTACTAGATCGAAGAATAAGTAGAGGGCTGCAAGCGCTCTAAACTCGCCATTTGCATCAGGAAATAAACAGCATTAGTGCCTAGTCTCGGCCCATGAGTTGCCTCTTCAATTACCAGCTATCGAGTCATGATGTTTCTTGGCCGATCTATTTTGATGCTAGTCTGTTTCTCCTCGATATGGACTGCCTCAGCTGAAGAAAAGGTTAAGATCATGCCCCTCGGAGACTCGATCACTGGCAGCCCAGTAAGTTTTCTGCTCTGTGGCTCTATGTTTCTCTGGCCCCGCTTGCGTGTTTCTTTGAAAAGTAAGATGTTGACGAATCGCGATGAATTAGGGCTGCTGGAGAGCTCTACTGTGGAAGAAGCTTCAGGATAACAATATCAAGAATATCGATTTTGTCGGAACTTTGCCACCGCAGGGATGTGGTTTCGACTACGACGGAGATAATGAGGGCCACGGTGGCCTTCTTGCGACAGACCTTGCTCGGGAGAGTAGACTAGAGCGTTGGCTTGGGGATACGAAACCCGATATTGTCATGATGCACCTCGGCTCAAACGACGTGTGGAGTACGAAGAAGCCCGAGGAGATTCTTGGCGCAATGGATAAGCTGGTTGACCAAATGCGGGCTAGCCAAGAAAGCATGAAGATATTGGTGCGTATTCCCTCGCGAGCTTTCTTTGGGCAACATGACCACCAGACATGACTCTAACGTCTGAATATCCTCTTCAGATTGCTCAGGTAACACCCCTAGACCCAGCCGGCTGTACGAACTGTATGCGAGGCATTGAGGATTTCAACAAAGTCATACCAAATTGGGCGAGCAGTAAATCAAATGAGAAAAGCCGTATTACTGTTGTTGACTGCCATAAGGACTTTGATGTCAAGGGGATGACGCGAGATGGTGTACATCCCAACGGCAGAGGCGACGAAAAGCTAGCTGATAGTTGGTTTGAGCCCCTGGTAAAGGTCATCAAAGGGGCTAAGTTGTTCATGAATACTGAACATTCCCGCCTGGCATGCCTTCAATATGGGTCATATCATATCTCCTATCGCTGGGGACTAACTTCAATAGTTGATCTTGACACTTTGTCTTCTCCTCTGTGGTGTCTTATGAATTGTAAGAAAGCGCAATGATTAGAATCTCATTATAGCACCCCTACGAGGATTCATATCAGTTTCAGGCGAGACTGAGTTAGCGTCAGCCACGCTTCCGTCTGCTCCTCTGTCTCCGTTCTGAAGGTCCCGAGTCGTTTGTAGATTGGGAGTGATGAAACATTCTCTCCTTGCTCTGGACTGCTCTTCACCAAAAGCCCAGTTGGGAATGATGGTGATGAAAACTTTCTCTCGCCTGAGCTCCTATCTAGACCAAAGATGACGCAGCGCGACGCGAGAACGACCGCAGATACGTCGGCAATCTCATCAGCTTGTCCAAAATCAGCCAGCTTGAAAGTACCATCATTCCTTAACCCCGAGGGTGCTACAGCATCAAGAGATCCGTGGGCCATGATCTTCCCACCTTCATAGAAGAGGACCTCTGCAAGGTATGTGTCCTGATCACTCTCGGCCTGCTGTACCGGTCGCAAAACCACTGGAACACAGACAGCGCAGAGCTCGATCCAAGCGCTCTCAAGTCTTCCAAACGGATCTGAGCCTGCGGTTTCGATGTGGATATTCTCAATACTGCACTTCTGAATGAGCGGTAGTGAGAATCGCAAATCCCATGCGATTTCTGCGTCACTAGATGCCCAGCTCCAGGATGGCGCCCTCCACGCTTTCGGTTTCGAAGGCTGCATGACAGTGTTCCAAAGCATTCCACGTACCAAATCATTTTTCCAAAGTCCAGCTACATATTCGTCTTCAAGCGCTGAGCTGAAAGTACGGGCTAATCCAGACAAAGCTGAAAACTTGTCATTGGAAACCGTCAGCTTTCGTCTGGTATACTCAATTATTAGATCTTTCCATCTCTCATAGAGGCTTTCCCTTCTCTCTTTCACCTCATCGTAAGGTATATCTTCAGGCGCTGGTGAGAGCAGATGATGCCAGCTTTGGACGTTGTCGTATACCTTGCTGCTATGTTCGAGACGTCGTTCCGTTTGACAACGAAAGTAAGACGTATGATTGTCAAAGTACAATACTCGAGTAGACATGAGATCTTCTTGGTATGTCCAAGCCCGCGTAGCCCATGCTCGGGTATGCATGTGGCTTGGATAGTCGGCATCCCAAGTCCGGTGTTCGTTGAGAGCTGACAGGACGTACGTGCCCGACACCCTACCCTGTCCCTTTTTAGACTTAAACGGGACGAGGACCGACGGCCCGGGACTACTTCTTTTAAGGAAACCCGAGTGAGAGGTATCGCCTGCGGCTGCTACCAGTGTGAGGGTAGCATGCCGATATACAGCGAACATGAGCGCGGCCTCCCTGGCCCAGTCTTCGGCGTCGTCTTGGATAATGCATAGAGCATCGATCCAGATGTACTTGATCCCCATATGACGCGCAAATACGACTGCATCTCTGATTGTATCCGGCATCTCGGGAAGTGGGATCTTCGTCTGGCGGTCTGCCAGAGTGGCCGCTGTGGTGATGAGCTGTGATTTACTGGCGGATGGAGGGCCCCAGCAGTAGCTCAGAGCAATGTACGATGTCGTTGGAGGGAGTTTGTCACTCATGACCAAGCGAGCTATTCCGTCGCTCATCTTTCCCACTTTAATCAGCCGAGTCGGGAGGCTTCTTGGCCCTGGAGAGCAACATTCCGGATGGTTGCTCGCGCAGCCCCAAACCCACTCCTTGAGGCGTTTCATGCAAGACGGAGCGAGAGCATTCGTGATGGGGAGTTTCAACTCAATACCGAGGGCACTTGCAACGTCTTCTTTCGATTTTCGTAATGTTAGCAGAATGCCATTGTTCTTGTGGCCTCGCAAGAAGTCATTAAGACGGCTAAGGCTAAGAGACACATACCATCTTCTCCTTGATACGCAATAGCCCGCACTTTCCACCCCTCGGACCACGGTCCTTTACGCCAAGCCTCAGACTCAAACCTGAAATCAAGCCAGTAAATCCCGTCTTGTTCGATACCGTAATCATCGGGCATCCAATCGCGTGTGACGTCGATGATGTCGGAACGCATCACGTAAGCAGGCGAGGATAGCTTAGCTACCACATCTTTTGTCGTAGACTCTTGCAATGCATTTTGAAGCGGTTTTGGGAGCTTCTCATCGAGTACAAAGCAAAGATATTCGCAGAAAGAACAACCCGCTGCAGCCGAGTTACGGAAAAGTGGAAGATTTGGGTAGCTATCCTTTCTCTCCCAGTGCGCAGCATCACGAACATCTCCCTCGGCGTCATCAAAAACGATGCCCAAGCACTCGTTACACAATGCTTTTGGGCTCGATGACGGCGTTACACAGCTTGATGCCATAATGACATCGAAAAATGGACATCAAGCGGGATGTCAGGAAGGCCAGGTGGGTTGCGGTGGTTGATGAGGGGCTTGAAGCTTCAAGCTACCACATTCGTCCCAGCAGCTGATTGGATAAGATCTATCTATATCTCCAATTATATGCGGAGATTTGAGCCTGGCGACTCCAACCACAGAACTCAATTGTTTTATTTCAACTGAACGACCATCAAACAGTTTGTGTGATGATAGTGCAAAAATCAACAAAAGAAACAGCAAGGGCTCAATCGGGATTCGAACCCGAGACCTCGCCCATTCACGCTTTGCGCAAGGGTTGGTACAGAACCCGAAGGGCGAATCATACCACTAGACCATTGAGCCGGAGCGACCTCCGTTGATCGGAGGCCAATGGTTGGCGAGGTGAGAAAATTTGGGGTGTATGTATGCAGGGAGAAGCCGTGCATCGTCAATTCTGTAGCACAGCTCAAGGCTGCGAGCTATAATTGTGAAAGCCGACTCAAACTTGGTTATTCCCTTACTTGAGTAATGCTAAGAATGTCTCATGCAACTCGCAGCGCGGGGTCAAGCTCAGTCGCGTGCGGAGCTCCGTCGATGGGTTGGTTGCACCTTGTAAACCTCGAAGGGTTGCTCCTGGCACTCAGCACTGGCCAAGAACGAACCTGACGGGGCAAAATCACACCCAAGCTATTCATTACGAGACAGTTTTCTGCGATGGCCTGCAACTTGAAGCCGAAAAGTTGGAAACCCGAAATGATTTTGCTACCAAGCTGGCAAACAATGGGCCTTCAGACCGACCACGCGCATCTTTGTTCCATGTCCTTCCCCAGCGTTTCCACACAGAGGAGATAGACTATGGACCAAGCTTGTTACGTACCAAATTACTGGATGGACATATGGGTCTGTCGAAAGAAGAGCGAAAGTCAACAGTCTGGTTTATTGCACATACACGAATTCTTTGCATTGATGCTTACTTGAGTACTTATGTTGTTGTTTCGAGGTCAGCCTGATCTTTAGTCTGAAAAATTCAGCTTGCTTCTGAACTTTGTAGAAAAGTGGACCGGCACTGATATCCTTCGATCTCGTCCCTTGAACGCTGCTTACGGTCCGTTTTGCCCGATGAATTCAGCGATATGTTTGGCAGCATAACTCCTCAAGGCTCAAGCCATGACCACGTGCTCAACTGCCAACGCTCGGACAATGCGATTGATGATTTCTTCCCATTGCAAACGTAATCTCGTCATGGTTATTCGCTGCTAGTATCTTCTTCACCTCTATGGAACGATCCGGGGGCCGAGGGGGAGAACCACCATCAATCCTTGCTAGCACGACGGTCCAGGCGCTTGTCGTCCAAAGTTGGCAGTGGCAAATTGGCAACTCGCGCCTAACAAAGTCCAAATTGTTTGACTTCCCTCTTCCAGTCTTTTGGCTCAGTGGATTTCTCTTCCCGACAATTGACACTGACGAGCGCGAGGATCAGGACGAGGTCTGTTCCGGAGCACGGAATGCGGAACAACAGCCTCCCACATGCCATGAGGCAAGGGGATCCCGAATGCGAGGCAAAGCATATCCCTGTATCACTCTCAGTTGATGGGCCGTCTCTCCTCCTTTCAGTCTCTTTCTGCGTCTACGCAGGTTTCGCTTACGATACGCGGTGTCTTGGAATTTTCCTACCGAACATGAATCCATAAACAACAGACTCTCGCCCCGGAGAGTTGTAGCCCTATGAACATTCATTTCCCGGGGTTGAACCAGCTGGACTCAACATAAGTGAGACGATACTCATCTATCTTTCCTGCTGGAAGCCACGCTGATCGCGCGGCATTTGCGAGGGCGGCTGGCGTAGATCCTGTCAGGGTTGTCCAGGTCTGCGGTTCGGGGAGAGCGATTCGCTGGAGGCGCCGGATCGCGGGAATGAGCTATCGCTGGAGAGACCACCACGACGGCACCACCACTGCTACGTACAACGACGGCTCCCACGCCTTGCCAGGCACGCCAGGCATGCTTCCTGGCTTGTCCCGAACGCTCCAAAATACGACCTTAATCTTACCATGGGGCTCGTGCGCCAAGAAATCCAGAGTGCAGGCGTCGTGGAGGCTTCGAACATGGTTCATGACTAGTGTACCCCTTCAACAGCGAGAATCGGCCACGCAACTACGTTTCAGTCGTCTGAACTTTTCTGGTCGAGATAAGATCTTTAGTTGCGGTATATGGTCATGGCCTCTAGTTGTTTAGACTTTGCTTGGGGGATATGTTCATCAATTAGTGTAGTCGAAATTTGGTGTGAGTCAACATCAGAATAGTGTCTACGGAGTGCATTCCGAAGCATCTCGCAACCGCCCCAACGCGGGCTGGAGCGGGGATAGAGTTGGCAAAAGTGGAACATCATGAGCCCCTTCTAATAACCAGGGACTTCACGGGTGGGTTTCGTCTGCCACTTCCGGCTAGGTAACCTGGCACGACTCCAGGGTGTCAACTATCTCGATATTGCAACGTGCCCGGGGTGATGGCAGGTGGGCAGACAAGAGCTTTCAAAAGGGGGCTCGTCCTGCCCGTCAAAACCACAATGCGGTCCATCGTTGAACCCCCTTCCTGAATCGAGCCCGCTCATCTGCCCGTCATGCTTCGATTCAGCAGCATCCTATATCGCGAACTTTCGTGATGTTGACCTCGTCGCCTTGGGCGGCGCTCCTGCTGGCCAGCGTCCTTTCTCACTCCGCGCTCGCGGACGATTCTTGTTCAAGTTCTACTGACCCATTAGTATTACCCATAAAAGTAAGGAACAACTTCACGAGTCATTCATTCACTTTTCATCACGTTTTACTTCCTTTGGGTGTGTGTCTATGTGTGTTTCGAGTGTCTGTGTGTGTGTGTTGCCGTGTGCGACTGTAGCTCTTGTTGACTTACATACTTTCTCTCCAGAACGTTACCTTTCCCAATGGCATCGGTGCCAATCGAGGCCTCAAGCTCACGCTTGGTGGCCAGGTTCAAGGCATGCGCATGTCCACCATCTTAAACAACACGCGAGTTAGAAATAGTCTGGACTGCCCGGACAACTCAACATACGCATTCGTCGGCTGCCAAGGAGCCTCGGGCAGTGTATACGACACCACAGGAGGCACATTCAGCCAAGTCGTCAACATCAAGGACTGGAACGTAACGTATGGTATCTACCTAACCGAGTTGTTCGAGATACATAACTGACTCCCCTCTAGAACAATCGACGCTCAGCCTGAAGATGGTGAAACGACGGTACTCCATGGATACGATGTCGCAAACTTCACCGATGCTCCAGCCGTAGCCTATGGGTATCCCTTCGAGGTATGGGCCGATTATGACTCCATGAACAAAAGCGCCATCGCATTTGGTCCGAACTCGTCCACCCTCGACAGCTTCGTAAGGAACGACTTGGCCCCCACGACAAGCTTCAGCCTGGACTACGGCTCAACATCAGAGCTTCACCCTCGCGACGGCCAGCTAGTCATCGGCGGCTACAACGAAGCACGCTACAACGAGTCCCAGGTTGCAGAGTTCAGCATGTGGGGAGCCAACGCCCCGGTCCCGTGCCCTCTCCAGGTTCTCGTGTCCGACATCGTCCTTACCAATACTGACGGCGATCACTCTCTCTTCGACCCGGGCGTCAAGGTGGCTGCCTGTATTGATACAGTGCAGAACAGCTTCACCCTCACGCAGAACATGTTTGCCAAGCTCCAGAGCCTCGGTAACCACACCGCGACTGACGGCATGGCCTTTGGAGAATCCGACTTCCCCAAGGACCGTGAGTCCCTCCTCGGCTCCCTGACCATCAAGCTATCCAACGGCTATACAAGCGTCATCCCTCATTACGAACTGGTCAGCCATGTACGCGGCACGGATGCCCGTGGTAGATATGCTGTGCTCAACAACAGCAGGATCAGCACCTCGGTTGCCTCAGGTATGAGCGATCTGGGTGACAACATTCCCATCCTCGGAGGCGTCTTCCTGTCGCAGAACTACCTCCACGTCGACTATGACGCGGGTAAATTCTGGCTAAGCCCGCAAGTAGCCAACGGCACTCTACCAGACCACATCACATCATCATGTAACGGCACCTCATCCTCGAGCGGCGGTAACAAAGCCGCCCTGGGCGTCAAAGTAGGCGTGCCGGTAGCCATCGGTGCCGCCCTAATCTTCTTTGTCGCAATGTGGTTCTGGTTGAAGAATCGCAAACCCAAGCAAAACGGGCAGTTTGCGGGCGCGTCTCGCTCCATCCCGCGATCGGAGAAGCGCGACGCCCCAGACTCCAAGTCCTCTACAACCAATTTCGCCGGCTATCACAATGTTAACCACGCGAATCCCGATGGCCATATGGAACTCGAAGGCGACCTCGGCCACGCCGTAGGCCACCAACAACAACGAGCCGAACTAGCGGAACCCGCGCCGGCATACAAGTCGGAGTGGCCCCGGCAGAACTCTATCCAAGGCGAGAGCGCCGCGTATTATCAGCAATTCGATGAGCCAGGCGAGAGTTACGAGCTTGCAGACACGTCGCCGCACTCTCAACTTACACAGTCTCCTCAAGAACTTCAGCAGCCTCCACACCCCCAGATCGTCATCCCACCAACAAATCCACCTCCCATCAAACGAAAGGACACCGGCTTGAGCGACTGGGTGCCGAGTCCAGCGACACTGAAGAAACAGTTGTCGGGATTCAGCGAGGCCGTCTCACCGACGAGCACACGTGCGAACAGCACGAGGGTTAATCCACATATTTCTCCTGTTTAGCGTATTTGAGGATAGATGAGTAATGATAATTCACTTCTTGAGGCATGAAACACATGGCCCTGGTTACCTATGCAAATGTACAGAATGAGTTTCTGATTGGAGTTTGTGAGCGGATCGTCGTGATTCTGTGACATTTGTGGGCTTTGATGATCGATCCTGCCTCCTTTATGTGTCTGAGGATGATAAAGGGGTCCATATGGCGCAGTCACTCCGTTGGATCATCTCTTCCACATCACAGA